AGAGAGAGAGAGAGAGAGAGAGGGCAAGAGAGAAGGACAGAGGGAGCAGAGAGAGGCAGCCAACAGTAACACATATAATTGATGAAAAATGGCATTGATATTGATACTAATGATAATGATAGGAGTTATGACAGCAATAGCACTATGCAGAGTAGTAGCAGAGCAGGAACACGGGGGCAGCAGGAAACTCCAAATCACAGATCCAGACTCCACAGCTCTAGGAACACCTGCAGGAAGTGATAGGAGGAGACTCCTATCACTCCTATGATTTCGATGATTCATAGTATCTTTGTGTTTCTATTGTAATTCTCAAGTCGTAACAACCCGAAGTGATCCTAAAAAGGTTAACATCTCAAGGCTTGCTGGGTCCAACAAAAGTAATTGTTTAAAAACAGAAATGTCTTTATGCCTTCTTTAATTACCTGTACCATTCCATATTATGTCTTGCCTCAGAGGAGTGAATTCATAACCCTCGGGTTATGTGATTGAATCTATTTGATTTCTGAAAACCAATTTGAATATTTGTCCATACTTAACTGAAGTTTGTAGTAAATGTGGAAAAAAAAACAATCTTGTAGCTTATAAATAAGAGTTCATTTTTTTAATGTTGTGATATAAATACTTTCCAATGTATATATAAATAATCAATAATTATTATTATTATTATTGTTATCGTTATGAGGCCTCTGAAAACTTTACCCGTTTTCAAAATCATGTTATCATTGCTATTTCAATGGAGTGCAGTGGAGATTTATAAATGGTTAGAATCAGTCTTTATAATTATACAAGTACATGCATAAGATTTGGGAGATATCAACTTGGGCATGCTTAGTGCTTGGTAGAATTGTTCAAAAGTAATTGAAAAATGATATGTAGGCTTCTTATTCTCTCTCAGTTTTTCTGAAGATGACTCATTCTCTCTGTAAATATTCATTCATAAATGTTGCAACAAACAGAAGTAGTAACTCTTGTTGGTGTGGGGATGGAGTGGTGGTGGTGGTGGGGGGGGGGGGGGGGTTTGTTATTATTTTTTCATTAATACCATGATTGCTTAAGTTGGTATCAGGTCCATTGAATAAACAGTATCAATTTACTTGAAGATTCTTCTAGTTTTCATTGTTTCAGTTATTTCCTAAAATGTTGCTTCCAATATTGTAACTGGTCTGCTAAGTGATAAAATTCACACCACTTTTCATAGTTATTAGTTAACCAGACACAAAGGGATATCTTTATATTAGAGTTTTTCAATTGAAAATTCAAAGAATTGAAGTTTTCATGTGCAATAATGATATATGTTGGGAGATTGTGAAATTGTTCAAAAGTGTATGTTTTCATTTAGAATAACTCCTTACTTAAAGCACGCAGAACATTGCAGCTTTGGAAGCTCAGAGTAAGTATGAATGTCTGTGGGCTTAATAATAAAAAAGTTACAAGGGTTTGAAAATGGTAGAAGACTCAAAATCGTCACTTTTTTGGGTAAACTACAACCTTTGGCACCCATTTTCTCAAATACTGGCAGGAATCCCATGGAGAACTTTTTTTCACAGCTCGAGTTCAATTCAAGATTGGAAAACTGCTATCGAAAAGTAGTCCCCAGGATAGTGGAGCGAAATCCTATTTCTAGCCACATTTTGAGCTTTAGCCTATGGCCTAATATTCTTTAAATCTAATTTCCAGAAAGAAATGTGATGTTTTCTAAAATTCAACATAAGAGAGTTGAGATAACGATAATTTCCAAAGCTCAAGCAATACCTGGGAAAAGACTGTAAATTTTACACACGTGTAAAAATTTGAGAGAGAGTGAGAGCACAATGCAATACACTTGGCGTTACTTGTTCCCCGAATACACATTTTAATGTATATAAGACCATATGATTTCATAAATACAATTCTGTGGTAAATTACCTCCACATTCAGACACATTCTTGGCCCCAACAATGCCAAGTCCTTCAGTACTGGGACATGGCTCGCAGGACAGCTGACCCACCATGTCCTGGTACATTCCAGGGGGACACTGGACACACACCTCCTGCTCCCCACTGTAAAATGTCCCAACACCACAGCTAACTGAAGAAAAATACAAAGGTCGATAGCAGCCTTTAGCTTCTGCTATGCCACAGTCACATAAAGTTAACCCATTAAAGTCAAACTTACCACACTTTCCATTTCGTGGGACTTGTCCTGTACTGCAGGTCTCAGCTCCCTCTTGTATCTTAGATGGTTTCTGGGCCACTTCATATTCTGTTCCAGAAAACTGAATGTAGAACTGCTGTTTGTTGATTGACTTTCTCAGGGTTCGCATAGCACTTTGCAGCTTCTGCTTAATCCTTTCCCGCACACAATCAATGTTACAGGAGTCTAAGACAAAGACAGACACAGACATTATTTAATTTATACAAATAAGATTTACATTTAGATAACACTTAACCTGTTTACATCTACCATAGATATTTACTATGTAAATCCAAGTGGAGTAAGGAAAACAGAAATAAAAACATACCTGAGATTTCCTCTCCCTTCATGTCTAATTCAAACTCAGCAGTGATGTGAGACACCTCTTTTGAAAGAGATTTACGCCCTCTGCGGCGTTTCTTTGAAGAGTCACACTTGATGTTGACAAAAATTACTTGACAGTCATCAGTACATGGAAAGTGTCCACCTTTTAGATTAAAAGGAAATATAGATACACAGCAATAAAGACATATATAAGCCTAAACTGAAAAATTGTAGATGCGTTGATCTTCATGCAATGTTCTTTACCTTGAATGTTCTGTTTTGATGATTCTCTACGTTTGTCTTTGTCACGTGGCCTCAGGTGACACTTGGCATCTTTTATCCTAAACCTTGCCTTCTGCTTGATGGGTAGTGCATGGGTGTCTTCATTCATAAAGCCAAGAAAGTCACAAAGCCAAGAAAGATACACAAGGTCCCACTGTCAAAAACATTTTAAAAAAATATGTTTTTGAAGAAAACACTGCATCACTCAAGAAAACAACATGGGAGATACGACAAGCTTATAGGAACAAAACCCAAAAAAGACAAGCTGTTCACAAAGATTAGTTTATTAGTAGATAAGTGGTTCATATCAAACTTGTTAACAGGCCAACCTGGACCAACTTGGCCCAGACTATTGTCGCAAATTTGGTCTGTTTGATCAAGAAGTAGAAGTAGTATTCAATTCAATTATTAAAATATTGTATTTATCCCAAAGGGAAATTATACAACTAAAGTTGTAATCCAAAGAATTACATGTCAGGTTAATTCAACCCTAAACTGCCCCCATGAGTGAGGGTGATTGTTTGTCATCGTGTGAAGGAACTAATTTATCTCTGTGATAAATCTGTTTTTAACACAGTGATAATCAAGATGTTGAAGGTTGTCCCCTTTGTTCATTAATCTGTAGAGCTTTATTGTTTTCATAGTCAGATTCTGAGGCCACAGAACAGTTTACGCACCTTCTTCTTTGAAGGCAAGGCCATTTATATTTCTCTATCTCTAATTTTACTCTCCCAACAGATGTTTGATAAACAGATTGCAGCCAACTGCTATTGCTATTTACATACAAATACAAACACATGCTGCATTTTGGTGCAAACGCTGAAAGGCCATCATCTTCCCAGATACTTTTTTTTTTTTTTTTAACAGTTTAGTCTGCTGTTCAGGTAACCTACCAGGTAAATGTATTCTTCAACCACCTACATGTCAGGATGGTGGAAGTTTTTGGCTGTGTCTAGTCCTGGCCCTGTTTTCAGTTAATGTGAGTGTTCCCATGCCATGGGCATGACAAAATTGTTGAAAACTCTTGTCAATTTTTGATACACACATTCTGTATTTTTTGGAGTTCCTTAAATAAGAGTGCAAGTTGAGCTGTATTGCATATAGTTCTTGCAAGCTGCCTGTTTTCTAAGAAAACAATTGTAGCTGGACCAGAAAGGTGTTCACATGCTTAATGTACGTATAACTTTCTGTGGGCAAAGTAAACATGTATTTACATAAGAGGATTTTTGTTATGGGTATCATGGTGGTGTTTAGCACAGTTGTCCCACAGCAAGAGGGTCCTGGGTGACTAGTACCTGCCTGTGTGGAGTTTGTTGTATGATCTCCCTCTGTCTGCGTGGGTTCTCCCTGTGTCTGGATTGGTTCTCTTTGACTTCCTCCCACCATCCAAAAGCATGCATGTTAGCTTGATTGGATACTCCAAATTGCCTCTAGAAGTGAGGGTGAGTGTATCTGTGTGGCCCTGTGATGGACTGGTGACTTTATCCAGGGTGTACCCTGTGTCCCACCCATTGTTGGCTGGAATACATTCCAGCCCCAGCCCCCCATTCACTATTCCCTATGCTCTTGAGATAGAGAGAGTAGAAATAGTTTGTAAGGAAGATTAGTGTGTTTCAAATGCCTTTTGTACCATACCAGAACAGCTGGGTAAACCAGAGGTGACATTCTTTTTCTGAGATGTTTTTCCAGGTTGGATGGGCACACCACAGCTCAATGTGTAACTGTTCTCGGACTCTGTAAGAAAATAATGCACTGTTTTGATGCAAGGTGAAGAAATAAATAACAAATTAGAGGAGACTTTATTTTTTCAATTAAATGGGATTCTTGTTGAGGTTACCAAGAGCCCCTTTGTAAAGTCCAAAACATTAGAAACATATTTAATGGTCTGTTGCTTTCAGAAACAACCAGAGAACCAAGGTAAATATATCCATCCATGTGATTTTGAAATCTGATAGGAAAAGCCTAGAACAAAGAATCCTTCTTTTCTCTGCATGTGCATGCACACACAAAGATGCATTTCAAGTAAAGACAGACAGATGCAACCTTTGGAAATAAAAAATGTGAGACAATTAAATCATAGCCAAGGCCATAAGTTACCACAGGAATTTACAGGGTTCCCACCCCTTAAATTAAAATGCACTCCAAAAAGAAAGAAAACTAATATTTTACTTCATGCCTTTCAGCTATCCATCATTCTCACACAATGACTGCCAAATCAAACAAATGATGGCCACACTAAGGGAAAAATGTATGATTAAAGAATGTGATCGATTTACAGATGCCTGTAAAGTACTACCACAGAAGGAGAGACTCGACTGTCAGCCAAAAGAATTAAAAGTGTGAGGTGAAGTAAACTGTGGAGGGTGAGAAACTCAGCAGTCTGAGCAGAGAGCTCCCTGAGGAGTTTAAAAATACAGCAATAAATAGCACAAGGAGCTAGCATCAGTGGAAGTCAAAGGAAGAAAGAATGAGAGAAAGAAAGAAAGAAAGAAAGAAAGAAAGAAAGAACAAAGAGAACAGCAATTTGTAGCTTATACCATCAGAAGAAACCACAACAGAGAGCATATTGTGGGAGATTTGCTTAAGATTCTCAGTATTGTTATCCAACTTCTTTGCAATATCTTTTAAATCAATGCAAATAATTTAACAGTAAGTCAGTTCCTACACCAAATATCCCTCTCTTTGCATGAGTTCCCTCTGCACACTCTAGCTTTCCCCCACATTTCAGAAATTAGTTTTAGGCCAAGTGGTGATTCTAAATTAACCCTGGTCGTTCCTTTAGAATTTCTGAGGTTATATGTGTTTCAAAACATTTTTAATTCGTCGATGTTTTAAAAAAATCTTTTGCAGCATTTTATGTCTGGGTTGGCTCTGTGATGGCTGAAAAAATAGTTCAGGGTAAAGCCTGTATTTTTCCAGATGGCTGCTAAAACAGACTCTAACCCCACAGCAACCCTGAATGGGTGGGTATAGAATGTGGATGGATGGATGTGTATGGAAATTAAATGGATAGCTGCTATTGACTAAGAAAGGTTACTGTTAGACTTAAATGATTTACTGTTTAGGTTTTTACCTGCAAAAAACAGAGCATTGGAGGGGCATGACAGTGAGCAGATCTCTGCCCCTCCCATCTTGGTGCAAGTCAGCTGGGCTCGAGGTATTGGTTTTCCATTGGGAAGACATTTCACGGCCTCTGAATGATACACAAACATAAGCATTCCCAGATTTATTTCAAATCTGTTAGAACCTCCTTTGAGGAGTCTTGCCACACAAGAAAATGTAAAAAAAGCCAATAAATTAAACTTGAAGACATTTAGAACAGATACTTACCAATGCAGTCTTTCTTGTTCCAGTGGATTTTTTGTCCAGTTGGACACACACACTCATAGCTACCCTGTGTATTTATGCAGCCATACTCGCAGCTCCCATTGTTAATACTGCATTCATCAATATCTATTGAAATGAAAAAGAATAAATTGACCATCCATCCATTATCAATACCGCTTATTCCCTGATGGGGTCGCGGGGGGAAGTGGAGAATTTAACATATTGTTTTTTTGCAGCAGCATCCATCTTCATACACACACAGCTAAGCCCACCAACCAATCCAAGGCAATGAGAATTTTTCCAAATTACATTCATGTTGCTAGGAACAGGATTAGTCTGAGCAAACCCTCACCTCCACAGTGTGTTAGGCCATAGAGAATGTATCCCTTGTTGCACAAACATTCAAAGCTTCCAGGGTAGTTGATGCAGGTGTGGTCACAGGTTCTCTCAAAAGAGCACTCATCAATGTCTGAGGGAGACCAAAATAAACAAAAGCTCAAATAGATGGGGAGGGTTGAGAGATGGAATAACATCCCTACTGACTGAAAAAAAAATCACTATGCCCTAACTTTAAAGGAGTCATATTTCAACAAGTTAACCTAGTTCCCTGGTGTCCTAATGTAATGTCTGTGACAAACTTTATTCAAAATACCATAAGCATGAAGCATAATAGCAGTTTAATCACCCTGCCAAAACAGCCCTGTTCAGAGCGTTTTTTTTCACACTTTGCCTGCTGATAGGCCATCCACAGTCCCAAATGTACATAATCAAATTATTAAAAACTTGGTTTTACATATTGTCCCCTTTAAAAAAAAAAAGGTTTACAAAACAGTATGCATCCACCACTCCATCTGGCTACTGTAGAATTTGATTTTGATGAGAATTCCCCTTACCTTTTACAATATTTCACAATTGTGAGCAGTGGTACTTGACGTAATATATAATGATTTCAGTAGACTTCACAATGGGCAGAAACTTTACAACTTAATCCACATTAGACCTAAAGTTTTTACTCTGTCTTTTGTATAGTTTTAAATGCATACAAAAGGGGGACAAAAAGTGTTCCAACATTTTTCTTATGCAGATATGGGAGGAAAATTATCCTGTTTCCATTTTGGAGACTAAAAGTCTCCATTTTGGAGTCAGACTTAATTTGAATTTATTGTATAATTGTGAGAGTTAGATTAAATATATTTGGGTCTTTGTTATTCTTGTTTCTTTTTAGAGTTAAGTCTTCTGTTTCTCTAGTGCTCCTGTAACCCAGGTGTTACTGAGGGTTTGTTTTTTTTTAGTTAAAAAGGAACATATTCTGTTGAGACATCAATCGTCTTGTATAATTCATAACTCCTGAATGTTACAGTTTGTTTATATTCATGTGCTATGCATTTAAATATGTTGCAGATATTTACTTTACCTGTATTTGATTTAAAAGAGCAAAAAAGAGATGTTATAAGTGTGCGGTATAGACCTGTGTGTATGAGTTAAAGATGTCATGCATGCCAGAGGGACATTTCATTGGTTGGGAATGGAACGTAAGAACTGGGGGAGGGTGGAGTTAAGGGCGCTCCATTGTCATTATCCTTATCCCCAGTCTAATGATCTGGCTTCCAAAGTTCCGCTCTTGATGGTTACATATGCAATTGGTGTGAAGATGGCTTCTAATATTGTTTGCTACATTGCCACTGAATACCTGCTTAAGGTTTTTAGGCTCCGTTTGATCTTGTATAGTTCTTTGATTCCAGGATCTATGTGTGAGGCATTGAGTTATACGATTTATTTTAGTCAATCCAGGGAGCACACAGATTGGTCAGTCTGTTCTTACCATATGGACCAGGGGCTGGTGCCTCGCCCCTCTGGAGTAAAGGTTAGGGTTAGCTAATTCCTCTCTGGGCCATCATCTTAGCCCAGGATGCCTGACAGGAACTTCGATGTAGTGCTGAGGCAGGTTATCGAATTGTAGTCAAACGTGGACTGCCCCTTTTTTGGGATCCATGGATATTAAGACTGTCTAACCTTCAGTTGGCCATTTTCCGGGAGGCTGCTGTGGTCTGATTAATGGATTAACCAGCTTTGTTGTTGTGTCATTCGACTGTCGGCTGGGAGTGTCTGACAGAGTCCTCTGTATAAAAGAGTTTCAATTCCCATCTATGTCAGAACTTTAACCATGTTCTGAGTGAAGTGGGGGACATCCGAATGGGCAAAATCCGTGCTTCTATTGTCAAGGGGTTGACGAAAGTTGTGGCTGCAAAGTTGGTTCCTATCATGGCAGTAAACCCAGAACTCGTTGGTGGACACCTGTAGTAAGGGTTGCCATCAAGCTGTAGAAGTACTCCCATCGAGACTTTTGGCTTCTGGGACTCTGGAGGTAGCTGACAGGTATCAGTAGGGCAAGTGGAATGCAGCTTCTGCTCTGGAAAAACCTCAGACATGGGAGGAGTTCACGGAGGAGAGGGGAGGTCCCCATCAACACTGTGTATAAAGCCGGGCATACACTCTGTGATATTTTCAATCATTGCATGTAGCTCCAGCTCAAACTGCACAACCAAATCGTAGGAGTTAAAAGTTCGCAGTTCATGATTTATATTCTCACACTATACGACCCGGTACTCTTATGCAATCTGACCGTTCACATTGTACGTCCAAAAACGCAAATTCGAACAACACAGAAGGAATATGAGGGTCACCAAAGCTAAAAGCGCTGCCTTGGGCGATAGTGAGTAACTGGTAACTTTAATTGTGCAGCAATCTCCCCCCCAACTTTTCTCTTATATTTTGGTCACGATAATGATGGGAGGCCACGTCGAACAGGCAAGGCTGAGCCTGCCAGAGTTATACAAGTTATGCTTCCATTGTTTGATTCCAAGATACATGAAAAGCTGCCATGATACTCAGTGTCACTTCCACTTTGTTTGCACAGGCGAAAAAGATAGTGGGCAATCGGGTCGTAGACGCTCGTAACATTGCTTCAATAACAAGATTCCCTTACGAGGGCCCACCAGAAATTCAAGCCGGTTTGATTTTCATCTGACCATACGATTGTCGATCGGGAGGTGGTCGTGACAGGTTAATTGCTTCTCTGTGTATACTACACGATGTGAAACGCACAAGTGAGCTGAAACTCCGATCCAAGAAATTCTCGTACGAGTGAAAAATGTGCAAAAATTGCAGTATATGCCTGGCTTAATGGGGATGGGGAGCTGCTGACCTTGACTCAGGGCTTTGTAGGGCAGTGGGGGAAACCTCAATCTAACTGATATGCCATCCAATGAGGAAGCAGAGCCTGGAGGCCTGGGTGTGGGGCCCTTGTTACAACTTGTTCTGACAACTGAGCAGTTACGGTCAACTGGACCTTAGAAGAATTTTACTGCAGACTTTAAGAAGTACCTCATGTGTTGTCTTACACACTGTCTCCACAAACATATGCTTGGTTGTCTTTGCAAGCTTGAGAGGACCTCACTAGACCAGCTGACAGCCATCTGAATCTAGGCACGCACTTCAATTTACCAATCTGTAATAAATGCGCCTGCAAGGAAAGCCAGACAGTCCACTCAGGGAAAGGGTAAGTGAAACTAAAACATTTCTAAAAAAATTTTGAAGGGGAACCACCTACTCCCAGACTTGTGGATTTTCGCCAAAACGTCAACGTGGCTAAACGGTACAGGATCGCGCGTGCCAATTTTGGGCCCGACCCGTCGAACGTGCGGGACTAGATTCGACGCAAAATTCAGACCGAAATGGGTGAACTACAATAAGAAGTCGTGGAATAAGTATTTACAATAGTAATAGGGGGACCTTCTGCTGGCAGTGGCCTCCCTAATTAGGTGTGTGATTTGAGGCCTGGCTTGGAAAGTGGAGAGTTTTAAAGGTATCAACATGTATCTACAAATGTATGTGTGGTGGGGGTTTCATTCCTTGTTTCTATGCAACAGAGTGAAGAGACAGTATTGATGCATTACAGAACAGCCAAAACCACGTGGAACTTCATAAGAGATACTGTCAAAAATTTCAATAAGAGTAATATTCTAAGATGTTAAGTTATTATACATGAATATGGTTTTTACAGTTGTTTCAGTTTGCCTTTTTTTATACAGGCTCTTAATATAAGTTTGTTAAACACTGTCGATCGCCGTGTTTGATAGCACTTAGTCACTAACCTTGGCATGTCCGTTCATCCGTGAGAAGTTTGTGACCTTTTTGGCAGCTGCACTCAAATGAGCCCACTGTGTTTCGGCAAAAGTGATCGCAACCTCCATTGTTCTCCTGACATTCATCGATATCTGGATTGAGAAAATAAAATAAAAATGTCAAGGCAAAAATTGTTGTCATTAATTTACGTTTGAATTGTGTTCTGTATGTGAAATTAAAACACTAATTAAACAACATTAATATAAAGATATACCTGTTGCTGATCAATGCTCTTGGCAGTATTTGAATCAACACATCAAAATCTGCCTCAACGTTTTAGGTTCTTAAAGTAAACTCAAGATTGACAGTTCCTCTATTGATTCTTTAATCAATGTCGGCATGAGGCCCCAGAGGATGATGAGGAATGGTTTATTTGTTGTGCTCTGAATGTACTCCCAGTAACCAGATTCAACAGAATAGAAAGCAACCTTAATTAATTAATGTTTATCATCACTTTACACCCTGTAAAGTACTCAAAGTGTTGGTTTTCATCTGAGGTAGCCAACAAAACCACATGACAGATTTGGTGGTGAGCTTTCCAAACCAGACATCCCCTTCACCATGTTTATTCTTTGATCCTTTATCCTGTCTATGAAAATGACAAACAGGATCAGTGACAATTAGCAGCCCTGGCACAGTCCAGCACACACTTTAAACAAGTTTGACTCAGACCAATAATGTAGACACAGCCCTTGCTTCGGTTATACAGGGAACAGATAGCTCAAAGTGGGGTTTTTCAAGTCAACAAAACACATGTAGATTGGATGATCAAATTCCTTAATCCTTTTAGTAAATCTCCAGATATAACAATCTGGCCCACTAATCCAAAACCTTTAAGAAAACCACACTGCTTGTCCTGAATCCAAGGTTTAATAATTGGTGCAAGTCTGACATGCACAAAATGTAAGGTCACGTTTTAATTGATAGCATAGTATTCTTTCTTCAAATAGTATTTTGGTCATAGGAGATTTGTTTAATGGGTTTATTTCAGCCCTTTGATAGAGGTAGAAAACCATCCGTCCATTTTCTATACCGCTTATTCCAAACCGGAACCTATCTCAGTTGACAACTGGTGAGAAGATAAAAACGTCTTGATAAAAGTAGTTTGTTGTTCTGTGTCACAAATGTTGTTGTGCTTCTTCGTAGGAACTTTTGGACAACGGACTATTGGATTCCATTGGTTTTTTCTTCATCCCACTCATTATTTACATAATAAATATCAATAATAGTCTGAATAAATGAGATGAAAGGGTTTTGTTTTTGTGTCTTTGTTGGTAATTGTCCCAATGGTGTAATGTACGGTTCTTCGGACCCAAAAACACCCGGAGGCAAAACGGTCAGTTAACGGGTTTTATTGACAGACAGGAAACTCCTGTGGGCGTGGTCAGACAGGCGAGGTCGGCAACGTGTGTTCAGTCCAGCAGTAATCCGTGGGAAATACGAAACGAGGTCCAGAACGAGCAGGGGTCGAGGCCAGGGGATCAGTCCAGAGGGATCAGACGGGAGCGCGGAGTCAGGCAGGCTGGGTCGGGGACACGGGCAGGCAGGCAGAGCACTGAGTCGGGCCAGGCAGGACTCAGGCGAAGCAAGATAAACAGACGAGGGGCAGGCAGGCTCGGAAACAGGGTCAAACGGGTCGTAGCAGGCAGGCAGGCAGAATAACAAAGCTGGAAGTACTCACACGAAAAAGGTTTAGAGACGTTCTGGCACAGGTGAGTGAGTGAGTGAGTGGGATATTTGTACTGACCGGGACAGGTGCGACCAATGTCGCTGATTGCAGGCAGAGTGAGTGAGAGTCGGTGGGCGGAGCCAGAACGTCACAAATGGTAACACTAATTTTGACACTGTCACGTCTGGTGTCTCGTCATGTCTTGATTACCTATTGTGTACACCTGGGGTTCCCCTCCCTCTTGTGTTTAAATAGTCCTCGTTTCCCCTTGTCTTGTGCGAGTGCGTTTTCGTCTCTTGTCCTTTCGTCCGTCTTGTCCATCGTCACCCCCACGCCAGGTTTGTTTTGCCATAGTCTTTTGTTTTTGTCATAGTCACAGTTTAGCCACATTTTTGTCATTCTTTACTTTGTTACTTTGTCACAGTCATAGTTTTGCCACAGTTCTTGTTTGCTATTGCTTTGATACTTTGATCACAGTTTTCCACAGCTTTGATTTGTACTTTGTCTGGACATTCACTCTGTTTTTGTTAAAATAAACCTTGTTTCCCCTCATCTCCGCACCTGAGTCCTCCCTCCAAGAACCCCCCCCTGACAGACACCAGCGGAAATAAAAATGATTTTGGTTCAGTTTATGATGTCATAAGTGTTATTGTTTGATGAACAAACACACATATTTGTAATACTAGTACTTAACATTTTTAAACTTTACAAGCTTTTATTTTGACCCACATTAAGGTCAAAGCTAAATTGCAAGTGCTTTGTTTTCCACTGTAAGGGAGGTTAAATAAGGAAAATGAGACAACCAATAAATATTTACACCTTAGGATAGGAACACGAATGTTGCAAACTACATGTTCAATTAATTTACTGAATGCAAATGTATTGACACTGTAGAAATATATAGAATACAAATGTGTTATTTTGTACAAGAATCTATTACAAGTAGACCATTTCTCCTCTTCTGTTTTTTTGTGATATTATGCATGTTTGCATGAGTAAATATTCTTCTGAACTAAGTTGAACTGTTCTGAGTTTTTTCTGGGATCCCAGAATAGGAAAAAAAAACAAAAAAAAAACTTTGAAAAATAATTTCTCTGCTACGACTAAGTTGTCATTCATGCAGCCTTGACAAAAATATATGACTGGGTTTTTGTTTCCATTTGTTTGGCCCACTCATTTGTGAACCACCACAAAGAGAGATGAACTCCTATCCATTAATCTTAGAGAATAAAATTATATTCTGATATATATATTTTATTGCTATTAGACTATTAATGAAATCATTTTGAATTTTCTTTTAATGACCAAGTGCCAATTCATTTTCCATAATCATAAGCACACATGTTCTGTGTTTATTGAACTTCGATTATTTCAGGCCAAATTTCCTGGTGAGTTCTTCATATTGTGCTTGGTGGGTTATGATCTTATGTTTATGCTTACTTAAATTCATATCTGTTTTCAGGTCATTTCAAGTAGATGAGGAATGCAAACCAGCAAGGGCATTTCTAGTCCAACCACATAGTACCCACAAAAACACAAATAACCACATGCACACAAGTAACCTGACCTTGTAAGAGCATACAATGCAGATGTACAAGCAAAATGAAGTGTCAATTACTCAAAATGACCAGAGGCTTACAGATAACCACCTATTAAAATATCTGAACTACTAAGAAACTACTCTTACCCAATTTTCTGCATGAAAACCTTTAATGAAATGGCTTATTGGTTCAGTTTCATCAGAAGAGGCAAAACTTTCTCATCTGTCAGCACAGATGGTAGGATGTTTAACACAACCGTGGGTTTTTAAGATGCTCTGCATGGTTTATATTGAAATTGTAATTGACAGGACAGGGCACATCACATTGGCATTTGTACAAGGTAAATGACCACAGAATCTCAAGTGCAAAAGCTGTGTCTTTGAATATTCATCCAACTCCATGTTGTGACAGCCATTATATCTAGATATGTGAATAAATACCTTCCCAATCGAAAACATGGTCTATTATTGAGAACAGGGCACAAAGTTAAAGTACTTATCTGCAGCCTTTCCAAAGCCTTATTCGGACCAATGCCCTAGCAACACAAAAGGGAAAGAAAGAAAGAAAAAAAACCTAACCCTATATTCCAAAGCAAACAATCTCCAAAACTAGAGCAAAGAGAGCAAAAAGAAGATCATTTTAAAAAAGGTGTGAAATAAAATAAACCGGAAGTGGCCAGGGGATGTCTGACTAGCATCCCGCCACCTGAGATCTTCTACCAATTAATTGAAATAATAGTATAATAGGCACCTGTAGAGTTGCAACAGGCAGTATTGCTTTGCAGGTATGAGCACCAGTTAATAAGTAAACGTATTTGTCAAACAGAATCTAGCCAAAGCAGGTAGATCATGTTATCAATAAGTCAGCTTAGTTTATTTGATGCGATTAACTTCTTTGTTTTTGTCATGGAGAACATTTTCACTAGAACATTCTTCCAGCCTTGGTAGCCATGCATTTTTTAAAACTTTTTAATGCAAGGTTGATGTAAAACCAATTCAGTTGGTATGACAAGCTTTAAAAAATTAAATAATTCAACCTTAGCCGAGGAGCCCCAAAATGCATGGTGTTATCTTTATGAACCTTAGGGTAATTTCTAATCATGATGCCATGTGATAACTCACATGGGAAATAAGTGCTTAACCCACATGTGAAATAAGTGGGTAACTCACATGTATGCAACCCAGGATTGGAAATACAATGCTAAAAACCATACCACCGAAAAGGCCCTCCCTTTCAAATTCAGGGTATAATATTTTGTCACACAGAGAGCTTTTAATGACCAAGTTACATCTCAAAAAGCTTAGTTTAATATTTTTCAGAGCATTTAAATATCAGACCTCTGGATGGTGCTGTTTGTACGACAGTACATCAGGGAGAGGAGAGTGAGAGTGAGAGAGACAAGGTTAGTGTGGGCCTCACTGTTCAAACATCTCAAAGTTTGCCAATAGGTTGTTGCCTGGATGACCTGAGAAAGCTCTGGTTTCAGAATATTATACACCTACATGCCACATTCTCAGACTGCCTGACATTCATTTTGAAAATAAGTATGATAAAGAGCATACACATAGAATTGTTAAATGTGTAAAAGAACAATTAAACAGGGGATTTAGGTGACTGACATGTTATTAAGATGCTTACCGTTGTCTTTGACAAGTTTTCAATTTGTCTAAACGAAAAAACTTCGAACAACTTTGATCATTTAACACAATCTTAAATATTTCCTGCAAGCAAATTCAACACGATTAGGCATTCTCATAGATGAATCAACAAGACCTCCATTTGAAATTACACTAACTTCCTCACGAAGGGTTATGTGTTCAAGCTCTGTGCTTTACACATCATTTGAAACTTGTGTAAAACATGCAAATCTACTGACATTTCATTCACCCCAAAAAAACAAACAAAAAAAAAACAGCCAAATTTCTCAAACTTTTAACTGTACAGGACACACATGATTTTCTGATAAACCACACAAGCCATTGCCCAAACACAAGTCAAGCTTTGTTTGAATACATGTGTTGATAAATAGAGACATGATGCTGAAACAAATGTACCCAATCCTAATTCCTAAGGCATTTGAGATAGGCAAAGAGATTCTAAGTTAAACAGAGTGTTTAAAATGGTTGATTTAATTTAAATTAAAGATCTCACTCACTTATCTTTGATTAGCTGTTAAATGTGTCAATTAATATTGATTTATACATTGCTTTTTCTCTCTTCCTATAAAGATGTTTATTTAATCTGCCTTCCTCTTTCCTGCCAGCTGTGTTTGTGTCAACTGTTCACTTCACCGGTGATGAATGTAGAGTGTTTTATTATTCCTTAAACTCATTTGGTTCACACATGCATGTTTACATTCTTTTATGTCTTTACTAACCTTTGCAGGTTTTGCCATCAGGCTGAAGGGTGAATCCCACAGGGCAGCTGCAGCGCACCCCTGTGGCTGTATCCTTACATGTCCTGTCGCACCCACCATTGTTTACAGCACAAGTCTCTGTAGATTAGAGAGAAATTGGGAAAAGAAAAAAAAAACTAAGTTGTTCGTCCAATCAAGTTGAAAAGAAACATGAAATATCGGACTGAAGTGATTCAATTTGAAATAAAGCTTGATGTCAATTAACAATATGTACATGATAACCAAATGGGTGAAATGTATTCCGTTGTTTTATGTAACTTTGTTAAAGCATAGAAGAAATTCAGTTAAAAAAATGTCCAAATTCCATAGAAATACAGAGAACACCATGGGTCTCTGTCTACCCTTCTGTGCATACAGTACATACAGTGGTTATGGAAAGTATTCCGACCCGTTTAAAATTTTCACTCCGTTTTATTGAAGCCATTTTTAAAAAATCAATAAAGTTCATTTTATTTCTCGTTAATGTACTCTCAGCTCCCCATCTTGAAAGAAAAAAATGTAGACATTTTTGCCAATTTATTAAAAAAGAAAAACTGAAATATCACATCATCATAAGTATTCAGACCCTTTGCTCAGTATTGAGTAAAAGCACCCTTTTGAGCTAGTACAGCCATGAGTCTTCTTGGCAAAGATGCAACAAGTTTTTCACACATGGATTTGGGGATCCTCTGCCATTCTTCACAGTCAGTGATCTTTGGGTTCTTCCTTACCTCTCTCACCAAGGCGCTTCTCCCACAAATGCTCAGTTTGGCTGGACGGCCAGGTCTAGGAAAACTTCTGGTGGTCCCAAACTCCTCCATTTAAGAATTATGGAGCCCACTTTGCTCTTAGGAACCTTGAGTTCTGCAGAAATTATTTTGTATCCTTGGCCAGATCTGTGCCTTTCCACAATTCTGTCTCTGAGCTCCTTGGGAAGTTCCTTAAACCTCATGATACTTGTTTGCTCTGACATGCACTGTGAGCTGTAAGGTCTTATATAGACAGGTGCGTGCCTTTCCTAATCAAGTCCAATTTAATGAAGTCCAATTTAATCAGCTGGACTCCAATGATGGAGCAGAATCATGTCAAGAAGGATCAAAAGAAATGGACAACATGTGAGTTAAATATGATTGTCACAGCAAAGGGTCTGAATACTTATGACCATTTGATATTTCAGTTCTTTTTTAAAACTTTTTTTCTGTCAACATGGATGTATATTGATGAGAAATAAAATTAAGTTTTTTAATTTTAGCAAATGGCTGAAATGGGGTCTGAATACTCCGTACCCACTGTATATATATGAATAGACCTTAGTACAGGCACAGGATGTATACAAGAAGGGACCAGCTGGACAAACTGTAATAAATGTGTGTCCCTGACAAACATATGTGGAATTATATACTTAACAAAAAAGTGTGAAACAACTGAAAATATGTCTTATATTCTAGGTTCTTCAAAGTAGACACCTTTTGCTCTGATTGCTGCTTTGCACACACTCTGCATTTTCTTGACGAGTTTCAGGAGGTAGTCACCTGAAATGGTTTTCACTTCACAAGTGTCCCCTGTCAGGTTTAATAAGTGGGATTGCTTGCATTATAAATGGGGCTGGGACCATCAGCTGTGTTGTGCAGAAGTCAGGTGGATACACAGCTTATCAGCTGTGTATCCACCTGACTTACTTACTGAATAGACTGTTAAATTTGTATTATGGCAAGAAAAAAGCAGCTAAATAAAGAAAAACGAGTGGCCATCATCAAAACTTTGAAAGTGTCCCCAAGTGCAGTCGCAAAAACCATCAAGTGCTACAAAGAAACTGGCTCAAATTAGGACCGCCCCAGGAAAGTAAGACCAAGAGTCACTTTTGCTGCAGAGGATAAGTTCATCCGAGTCATCAGCCTCAGAAATCGCAGGTTAACAGCAGCTCAGATTAGAGACCAGGTCAAAGCCACACAGAGTTCCAGCAGCAGACACATCTCTTGAACAGCTGTCAAGAGGAGACTGTGTGAATCAGGCCTTCACTGTAAAATAGCTGCTAGGAAACCAATGCTAAGGACTGGCAACAAGCAGACGAGACTTGCTTGGACTAAAGAACACAAGGAATGGACATTAGACCAGTGGAAATATGTGCTTTGGTCTGATGAGTCCAAATTTGAAATCTTTGGTTCCAACCATCGTGTCTTTTGCGACGCAGAGAAGGTGAACGAATGGACTGTACATGCCTGGTTCCCACCGTGAAGCATGGAGGAGGAGTTGTGATGGTGTGGGGGTGCTTTGCTGGTGACACTGTTGGGAATGTATTCAAAATTAAAGGCATGCTGAACCAGCATGGCTACCATAGCATCTTGCAGCGGCATGCTATTCCATCCAGTTTGCGTTTAGTTGGACCATCTTTTTTTTTTTTAACTGGACAATGACCCCAAACACACCTCCAGGCTGTGTAAGGGCTATTTGACCAAGAAGGAGAGTGATAGGGTGCTGCGCCAGATGTCCTATCCTAATCCTAACCCGTACCTCTATCCCCCCACAACTTCTTCTGTAGTCCCTCTACCTCTTTTTATCTTGCTGTCACCACTGACTCTGATCAGTGTTTCTCCTCTATATAGCTTATTGTCATAGTGATGAGAAATGTAATATTGTGTCTACTCTGTAAGTCGCTTTGGATAAAAGCGTCTGCCAAATGCATTAACATAAACATAAACCTGGCCTCCACAATCACCGGACCTGAACCCATTCGAGATGGTTTAGGGTTTAGCTGGACCGCAGAGTGAAGGCAAAAGGACCAACAAGTGCTAAGCATCTCTGGGAATTCCTTCAAGACTGATGGAAGACCATTTCAGACCTCTTGAAACTCATCAGAGCAAAAGGGGGCTACTTTGAAGAACCTATAATATAAGACATATTTTCAGTTGTTTCACACTATTTTGTTAAGTATATAATTCCACATGTGTTAATTCATAGTTTTAATGCCTTCAGTTTGAATATACAATTTTCATAGTCATGAAAATAAAGAAAACTCTTTGAATGAGAAGGTGTGTCCAAACTTTTGTTCTGTACTGTATATATATAAATATATATATATAAATATATATATATATATATATGTGTGTGTGTGTGTGGCAGCGTGTGTGTGGAATCACAAAAGATAGTGTGCTAATGTAACATCATCTAATTGTAGCGAAAAGTTAGATAAAGATTTATTGGGTCATTGGTTGGTCTATTGTCCAAATGTTCAAGGAAATCATTTAACTCAAACTAAGAAACAAAAGGCTAAATTAAGGGATTTTGTTTTTGTTGGAACTAAGTAAATATACAGGAGACAAGAGTATCCTTTTTTTCCTAAAAAATATATTGTTGTAAATGTTACAGATAAAGGTTGTTGGGACCTGTGAATATTGTCTAAACTGACGATAAAACAAACACATGGCAACTGCTAGGTTTTTGTTGCTATAGCAAAATACAGCATGCCCATACAATGGCCTAAAGAAATTAAGAAACTACATCATGGCATTTTATCTTTTATTCTGGTTTTGTTGAGACTGACTTCCCTCATTCTAGAGAAACATTGTAAAAAATGTTAGAATTTTGTGACAGTGTCCTTCTTGAAAATGAAAAAACTAAATCTAATTCCCAAAATAATCATTTATAATTCAAATAGCATTGTCAGAGCAGCTTGGCAATATGTAAATTAGGGAATTTACTCATCCTTTATAGCAAATTACTTAAAAATGCCATAAGGTATTTTTTCGAGAAGAATTTATGTCTAAATAAAAATATATATATCAGATAGTGGAAGAGGAATAGAATAAATATGTTTGAACTGAAAAAAAAATCCAAATTCAGAAACACAATACCTTTTCAATGTTGTTTCGCATGGAAATCAGACCCAAGATGGTGGATGCTCTCTATTAAGAAAAAGGAAAGTATTTGAATATCTGTTTGTGTTCGCTCATGTAACTCCAAACAACATCCATCTCCTTCCTTTCTCCTTTAATCTTAGTTTTTTTGTTTGCACTTGTTTCTTGAACTGTTTATCATTTTCCCACAAAAACTGAAACATGATACGCAGATGTGAAAAAAATGCTACAAAGGCGGATTTGGGACGCACTTCACTAGCAAAAGTGTATGTCTTATAGAAGCTGTAGGGTAACAACAGACGCTTATCAGCTCCACTTTCTAGCTCAAGTCTTTCACAATCATGCTTGTTAAAATATGCATTGCATTTTACACACTAGTGTATAAAGTTTGTGGGTATGAGTGATTACTACAGTGTGCAGACTGTAGGCTTAACATTGGCTTAGCTAAGAGAAACTGTCATACCTTTTTGACGTGCTGGACAAATACAAACATCTCGCCCCACACCTTATTAGGTTGTATTATTGATAATTATGTTTTTTCTTTTTTCTTTAATTAAAAATGTCCTTAAAGGGGTATGGGATAAACTTTAATTCCACTAAACTAAAAAAAAGCTGTATTGCTCTTGATACTTCTCACTATGAAAGATAACACTGAAAAAATAACTAATGACGATGTGGTAGAATAATTTTTGGCTTTGTTCATCTTAATCCGAATCACCTTCTTTGGGTCAGTGCTCAAGTGCTATAAATAAAAAAGGATAATATTAGGGGTTCGAAATTTGTGGGAATTTGGTATTAGCCAGCAAAAGCCTGACCAAAAGTAATGAGCCCAATTGGTACTATTCTGTCACTTGGGCTCAAGCATTCTATATCTGAATATTTCTTTGTAGCCTCGCGTCACGTCGCAAGCATACTGGTGCTGTAATATGATATTATTAAAAACGTTTTCAGTTCTTCTCGCTTGGCAACCACGTCATGCCTCAAATGATTTCATAAAAATTATGATAAACTGCAAGATAACATGGCAGGACAATGTATTTCAAACGAAAAGTTGTTGTTTTTTGTTGATTGCCTGTTTTCTTTGCATGCCTTCCATATAAAATCTTAATTTGCCAACCCGTCCTACCCCACAGAGTTGAAGGCATGAATGGCTAACAACTTTTGATTTTCTCACACCCGGACAATAAAGCGTGCGCGCCGGGCGCACAGTTGAACGGTCATTTCGTACTCTGATAATATAACTTAGATACAATTTTATCAGTGGTGGGCCGTCAGGGCCTACAAGGCCTTCTCTGCAGGCCTAAGAAAATATCTGAATCACATACTGGTGTTAATTATGTTTTGTCCATGAGTACTTATTAAATATCTCTAAATAGTCTGTCCGCTTCCTTTAATAGGTTTTACCCTGGTTGTGCTGCTTCCAGAAATGTATTTTCATATTAAAGCATTTAACCAATCACATTTCAACCATCATTTGTTGCTAGGCATGGTCAAAGTCAAAGATGTCTGCCTGGAGGCCTTCACAATCCGTTCAGAAAATACATGTCGAGTACACTGTTGCTTCAACCAATCAGATTTTAAGTTGGTGACACCAGGGCCTTATAGCAGGTCTTAGGCAACGTCACCGTATTCACGCCCACTGATTGGATAGTCAGATAGCGTACCAGCTAAAGCTAGCAAACGAACCCAAATATAGTTGTTTTGGTGTAATAGCTATTATATCACCCCACAATGGCTGAAGGGGTAGAAGAAATTTATTTGGTGGCAGATTTACTGTCAGGGTCATTTTCAAGACGGACTTTTCAAGAATAGTAAGTGAGTGAAATGTTGCTTTTTTCCTAAATAATATTGCAAGTTTATGAGGATATTATTGATGGGTTTTTTTTTTGGGGGGGGGGGGGGGGGGTCTCACAGCTGTAGCTGCAGTAGTAGAAGACTTGTGCAACCCTGATCTTTATACTGCTTGCGATCCGATATTTGGATCGTATCGGCCCGCATGAGCAATTGCCAATCTAGACTCTAGATCCTTTTTTTTTTTAAGTCCGTTCCCACACGAGCATTAGCATCTCCTAACCCACACGTCTGTGTCCTAAACATTAAGTTGTTATCAGAGTAAATCCCTGTTCAACATGAGTCTGACAACTAAGTAAGTAGCTAAATAACTTAATAATCAATTTTAATACAAAAAGCTGGATCGGGATATCCCTACTGTATTTCTACATAATGAGATGATTTATATAACCATAAAATAGTTATTGAGGGGTGAATTGATTCGGACGGAGCACTACTGAAGGTCTAGGTGTGAAATGCACGGTCTGCCACTGAATTTGATAGAGTTTATAAAGTAGACACAACTGTTAAATAATCAGCTAACGTTAATCTTTTAGCCGAGGCAACATCTCACTTTTGTCTATCGTGTTGCATGAAAATATCTGATGGAATATTTGGACAGAATTAGTTTTCATTTGTTTTATGATAGCTTTTTAGTTAAGAAAAAAGTCTGCCTGTGTGCCTCTAAAATCGAAGAGTATATACATTCAATTCAAATCAATTAAAATATTATTTATTTATCCCAGATCGAAAATAAATGTTGAAGGAACTCATTTAGTTAAACAGTTATTATAGATTATGATGGCTGTGGGCAGGAAAGGTCTTCTGTAGTGGTTCATTTTACAACTAATCTGAAGAAGCCTCTAACTGAAGAGACTGTTTTCCAATTACATTTTCATGAAAATTATGGTCAGGGTTATCCATAATGTTCTTGATTTTATGCAAAAGGCTTCTTAGCATCATCATCTCCAGAGGTTCCACAGTCATCCCCAGAACAGAACCAGCCTTCTTGATCAGCTTATGGAGCCTTTTTAGGTCCCTGGCTCTGAAGCTGCCCCAACAGATGACAACCGAGGAGATGACACTCTCAGCAACAGATTTATAAAAAATCTCAAACATGTTGCTACAAACATTGAAGAATCTTAGCTTCCCCAAGAAGTACATGTTACTCTGTCCCTTCTTGTAGATGTCTGTTATGTAGAGCAGGGGTGTCAAACTCAAATGCACAGTGGGGCAAAACTCAACGCACACTTAATTTGTCGCGGGCAAAAAATTATAAACATTTATTAAATAGACTAATTGTTTATGTTTTTTTAACCATTAATTTAAATAGAAATACGGGATAAAATAAGTACATTTAAACTCAGATTAATTTATATTTAACTCTTCATAAAAATATATCCTGCCAATACTATATACATTCAAAATCTGTACATGCTGGAATATAAAAAAATCTGAAAATATAAATAAAAATATAATTTAAAGTAAAAGTTCAATCATAACATTACATTTTATTGTTCTATTTAGTCAGAGCCTGATACTTGGTGTCTTTTCTTTGCAACAAGTTAATTTATGTTTGGGGTTAGAGTCTGTGTTGTGGAGATTCTCAGGATGGAGGTGTTCATCAGTGAGGCAACTCCTGTCTGACGTTTTGTTAATTTGTTAATTTGTTAATTTTGTTAATTTTCCTCAGAGAACAGCTGCTCACACAGATGTGTGCTACCATCTGCACAAACGATGTCGCACACTTTCATCATACAATTCTTCACAAATTCCCGCTCAGTAAACGGACATCCTGATTTGGCGATCTCTCCGGCCACAATGAAACTTGCTGTCACAGCAGCTTCTCCTTGTGATTTTACTTTGGTGAAAAACGTCTGCTGGGATGTCAAATTCTTCTTCAACTCCTCTACCTTTTGTAGCTTCTGTCCTGCTCTTAGGTTTTAAAACTTGTCCTGATGTTTTGTTTTGTAGTGCC